TTTGTACTCCTTGAGGAGGCAAATTAGGATTGGTTATTTTCATCATGTGGGTCCACAAAAAAGTTTCTATCTCAAAAGCATGTGAGAGGGAGTACAAGTTGAGAGTTTAAAATGGGAGTACACCAAGTATTTTCCATATTGTATTAGTTTATAAATCATGTGTGAAGTAAACTAGTAGATTATGAAAACTGTTTTAATGTGTTTGGATATTGTAATTAATTAGTGGTTTTTGTTTTTTGAAAGCTAATTAGTGGTTAATTTGTGGGGAATTTGTTAATCTATTGCAATAGCTGGTGTAGTATGCTAAAGAAATCAAGGCAAATCCATTCTTAATTTTAAATACACAAGTTTTATATAATTTCCTCTTCTATAATTTCCTATATATATATATATATATATATATATATATATATATATATATATATATATATATATATATCCCTAGTCAGGTTTGATCATGAGATTCGATCTTGAGCATCCGATCATGAGATTCGATCCTGAGCATCCGATCATGAGATTCGATCTTGAGCATCCGATCATGAGATTCGATCCTGAGCATCCGATCATGAGATTCGATCCTGAGCATCCGATCATGAGATTCGATCCTGAGCATCCGATCATGAGATTCGATCCTGAGCATCCGATCATGAGATTCGATCCTGAGCATCCGATCATGAGATTCGATCCTGAGCATCCATTTTTTTTAACAGCTAAGATTTCTAGTTTGTTTTATTTATTAATGATTGATCTGTATTCTGTAACTAGTCGAGGGCACGCACTTTGCGCGAAACGTCATGCCCAACAATCAATTATTATATATGTTCTAATTTTTTATTTTTTATTTTTAAAACAAGTATGTTCTAATTTTTAAATAATAATATATACAATTTTTAATAATTGTTATATGACAAAATAAATAAGAATACAGAAATAAGTTGTTTAGATACCAACACGATATACAAGAATTGAATTAGGAACATGCGGGAGGACATTAGATTTGGTTTTGAGGGAGAGAATGGAGATGTTAGCTAAAATAATGTAGTGGTTTTCTAAAAAAAAATGTTGAAAAAAAAAAGATTGGAGTGTTGGAATGGTGGAGAAAAAAAAAAGACAAAGATCACATCAAGGCAAAAAGGAAGAAGACAAAAAAGTAATGGTAAAGTTGTTATTTCTTTAAAAATTGCGGGCAATTAAAATGAAAAAATATATAAAAAATTAGATCAAAAAATTTCATCCATTAGATTTGAAAGCAATGATAAGCAAGTGGTGCCATTTTTGAGGGGCAAATGGCAACTCCCAAATATAAGTATAGGGGAGATATACTTGGGGGTAGGGGAGTAAATTTGCACGCGCATTTAATTTGTTTCCGTTTCAAAATCTGTATAGTCTCTTTCTTTCCCTGTGCGTGTTTGGTATTCTTATCCCAAAGTCGCAGTTCTTCTCGGTAAATTCGCAGTCCAGCCGAATTCTCCTAGTACCGTCAAACCCTTCACGTCGGTGGTTGTAGTACCGGATTCTTCATGGTTGGTTGCTCTATCAAGCGGTCAAAGTGTCGAAAGAGTAGTTGTTCCAGTGGTGGTCAAGGTATTTCGTACTAAAATACCTATTGTTTTAAAAAGATGAGTGACCGACATGATAAATTTTGGTACTAAAATAATAGTCGTGGATTAAAATTGGTACTAAAACAATAGTCGTGGATGAAAATTGGTGGGAATTAAACATGTGGACGAAAACCGTCATTTTTCTAATACTCGTGGGACCAAAATTGGTTTTCGTGATTTCGTGATTTTGGTTTTCTATGGGGTTTTTTTTTTTTTTTTTTTTTGGGGGGGGGGGGGGGGGGGGGGGCCGTGTTCATCCGGTAGGGGCTTTGTGCTTTTGTGTTGTGTGGCGGTTGTTCTTGAGGGGGGATGTCGGCGGTGGGTATAGAAATTCAGTGGGTTCAGAAGACCCATCCATAGACAACATTCCTTTTCTCGTGAGGTCTAAGGTATTTTGATTCATCTCTATCCTGCATTGAGAATAATCTTGGGACAATACTCCATCTTATTTGAACATTGGACAAAGTTCATATAAATTTGGTATCAGAGTCTAGGTTTATCTCATAATCAGTACAAATTTGGTTCCTCAGGTCATATATATATATCATAACCTTTGCAAATTTGTTTCCTTAGGTTATTAAATATAAAATAAAATAAAATAAAAACATATGATTCTTATTTTACATACTATTTTTTTTTTGTGTCTTATACATCAAAAAAAAAATTAAAAATAAAAATTGCTTTCTTGATTGTGTTCTTGAAACCTTCCAAAAATATCTCTTCTTTGGTACAAGAATTGATGACAATTATGCTTGTGTTGTGTGCGTTCATATGTATGATGGATATAGTCAAGTATTTCTCCTTGTTACAAATTAAATTGGAATTGTTTTCAGCGCTGTGTTAACATAACTGGAAATATCAACATTTTATTTTTTTTCTTCAATTTTAAGAATGTTTAATATAAATATATATAAGCTCTTTCTTTCTTCTTATTTAAAAGTTATCATAGTTAATAATCTCTATTTGTTGGTATAAGTTAGTGATTATTCCTTAATTATATTGCTTAACTTTGGAGGCTTAAACCATAACATGGTTAACAAAAATTAAGGACTATGTACTAACAACTATGGATTGAAACCACTAATCACTATAACTAGAGACTAATAATATACTTTTCCCATATATACATTACTGTAAAAAAAAAAAAAAATGAACAAAATTTAAAAATCAAACCTTTGCATATTGTAATAATTTTAATCAAAATTTTTAAATTTTAATGATGTTCACCAATATAATTTTACTCTTCAACTTAAAATATCCATCCAAACTCTCAACATATTGACATGTTATTTTAGGAAGTTTTCTTAATATTTATTGTATGAAGCAAATAATACTTATATTTGCATCTCAAAAAAACAAAATACTTATCTTATGATTACCAACCGAAAGGTCTTTTATGATAGTTTAAGAAGATGAATCCATTGGCTGCCAATAAGAAGGTGATCAAGAGAAGATGTCCTACTCCCAAGAAGGTTCAGGTAAACATACAGACATGCCATTGTTGTTTAATTTTGAAGTTTGATGCATATAATAAGACTGAATACCCCTTCTTGCACTACATACACTTCCTCTTACTACCTTATTAGCTTACTATTGAGGAATGATGGGATTAGTGTTGGTTGAAATTAAGTTAATAACACAACTTACTTTGACGAAACAAGATATTTTTAGAGTGTATATATGTTTTGGCTAGTATAAGGACTGTTGATGTTGTATTATTCCTTGTGCCAAATTGATTCATTTGAGGTTCTGCAACTTCCTGATGCTTACTTGGCCCGCACTATTTGATTGAGCAGGCTAAAGGTGAAGGTTGTAGGAGGGAGTATGGGTGTGTTGATGAAAACTCCATAGCTATGAGGAGAGGTCGAGAACTTCAAGCAAATCTTTCACCTCAATTTCCTAGTGTAGTCAAGTTCTTGCTCCATTCTCATACTACTAGTGGATTTTGGTTGGTAAGCCCTGCCCACATAATTAATCATATCTCTTTAATTTAGTGTTAATTAGGTTAAATCAAGTAATCTAAGCATGCTTATCACTGTGCCATCATTCTCAAATATAATATAATATAATATAATGATCTGATCTGATAGGGTCTGCCAAAAGATTTCTGCACTTGTCATCTGCCAAACCATGATACTGCTATTATTTTGGTGGATGAAAATGGAAGAGAAACAGAGACCAAGTACCTTATTGAGAAGCATGGCCTGAGTGGTGGATGGAGAGGATTTTCCCTCCAACACAACTTGGTTCCCGGGGAGTTGTAGTTTTTCAGCTAATCCAACCTCTCAAGCTTAAGGTAGGTAACCCCATCCATAGCCTATCAGTGTCCTAGTTTTTCAACTTATCTTCAGCCTTCAAAGAATTAGCCTCATTTTTACTCCTTTTCCTTGTTTTAGGTGTACATTGTTCGGGCAAATGACTCGGCAAATATTGCTGGTGCTATAAGTCTTCTGGATTTAAGTCATTATGCACACCCAATTGCAACTGGTATGTATGTTTTCCTTGTTCCTTTGCATTAATTGAATAAAGTAAGTCTACAAAAAACCTAGCTAATTGATGTCCGATCCTCTCAGTTGTGTTACATTATATTGCCTCATCAACGGTAGACCTGCATTTGAGTGCTACTGACTCTGTTAAAATTAATGTAGCATCTGTTCATCATATCTACTTTCTAAATCTATTGAAGCACAAAAAGTCAATATCACCCCCGGCCACTAAGACTCAAGCACATGACCTCCCATTTGGGACAGTCAGGTCATTGGCTGATATATTGGTATTATTCTGAAGAATATATTGTACATTTTATATCTCATCAATATAGGCTTTATATTAGACACTGATTCACTAACAATTTCTAGATATTCATCCATCCATCCAACCAAACTATGCCAACTTGCACAAACCAACATATATAATATTCATTAGGACTGAAGCATGTATGCATAACTTTTTCTGTTATTCCAGAGGGTTTACTGCTGGAAGGTGATGATATTGAGGAAAATGTGTTGAGAATTGAAGATGCTGCAGATCAGTTAACCAGAATACAGCATGAAGGTGACAATCTGGAGAGACAAGTCTCTACCTCAAACCACTTATCTGCAGAGAATGTGCACTGCTAGAAATCTCGCTATTTCCGTCCAACATTTCCGTCCAACCGTAAATTGGTCGGTATTTTAATAAAAAATTCAACTTTCTATCGCAAAAGAAGAATGTACGGAAAGTTGGTCGAAAGTTCCGTCCAACATTTGCGCGTTGGACGGAAAATCCGTTCAACATCCAGTGTTGGAAGGAAATTCTGTTCAACCTGTAGTGTTGGTTGGTAAACTCAAATTGATTAATAGGTAGAAATTAAAAATGGTAAGAATTTTAATTTCCGACCAACATATTATTGAACGGAAATTTAGGAAATAAATAAAAATAAAACCCTAGACGTATAGTATCCTCCAAACACAGATCTAAGCTCTTCTCTATCTCTAAGCTCTGGCGATTGACGACGGCGGCAAGTTGGACTCCTCTCTCACATCGACGAAGGCGGGTATCTCCAGACTCCAGCGATCGATGACGATGACGGCTTGAAATCCTCTCTCTATAGTCTACGAAAGTGGCATCAGCAGCGGCAGTGTTTGATGGAAATATTGGCGGCGTGAGCAGCGGCGACGGCACCAGCTCCGGCGTTGCTGCGCTTCCTCAGGTATGTGCGGTTGCTGTCTTTCATTTATTTAACTACTCAAATTGTAATTTCAGTTTTAAATTTAAAGTTTATATATGTCAATGCCGTTCGAGACTACATATTGAAGATCGAGAAGGAGCTCTAACCATTTTTAGCACAACCACCGTCACACCGCCCCTTCTCCGCTGCCCAGCCATAGCCACAGCCGCCATAGCCCACCGCCACACCAACCTCCGCCGCCGCCATCGCTCTAATTTAGGTTTGCTTTCTCTGTTTCCTTGTTAGTGGAGCTGATTTTGAGATTGGTGATTATAGGTGTGAGAGGTAGAGAGGAAATAGACCAAATTGTTGTTTAAATTGCTAGTTTTGACTTTGCCTATTGTGGCTAAGAGTTGTAATTGGTGCAATGGAAGTTCTTTTTCGTATATGTCTAAATATGAATGTCCAAATGTGGAGCTATTTATTGATTGGCATTAGAGAGAATGATGATTTCAGTGACTGCATTTATTCTAGAAGGTTGTTATTCCCACCTTACTTGAAAGCGGACTTCTTGATGTTAATTATGATTATATTAAACCTGGATTCTAGTCATGGTTTGCAGGCACACTATTCAATAAGAAAGAGTTTCTTATTTCTTTCTGTTATTCTTTCCTCCTAATTCGACTACACATCAGGAAAATCTACCTCTATATGTTTGTTATATGTATTCTTTTGGGCATTATAGAAACAAAGTGGACTCAGGCTATTGTAGCAGAATGCAATGAACTCAATGGTTTTCACCTGGTAACGATTATATGTGCAGATGTGGAATCAATATTGCATAATGATTTATTGTTACTTTCAAGGTAGCTGTTCATCTGTATTTTACTCATTATCTTGTTTCCCTTGAAAGCCTCTTCTCCTATAAAGGTATATTTTTCATGTTGAAAAAACCAAGCCACTCTTATTGGGAAGTTTAGGGATTCAAGAAATATTTTTCATTCCATGATTTTTTTGCCCTTTCTTTTTGGGTTTTGACAATTTTCTACTGTTGGAGGTTACAATATCTAATTTGTAGTGACTGTCCCTACTATTGCATTTTGCAGTTACAGGGCAAACCACTCCCAACTGCATATGCATTTGCTTTTGCTGAGCATCATCAACAAAATAAATTTAAAGTTAGGATGCACTTAAACGGGGAATACAAATAATTACAATTTATGCATTATGTAGCTTTCTCTTCCACTGCATACAGAGTTTTGTTTAGTTCTGCATACAATTTCATTCCTAAGATTAATCTCTCTATATATCCTCCTCTTTCTCTCTCTATATGCATATATTTATGTGGTCTTATCATTCTATACATATGATAATCTATCTTTCTTTCTCTTTGTAGGTCTTGTATACTAAACTACTAAAGTTTGACAAACCTTCATATTTAGTACACAAGAGGTAACTTTCTATCATTATTGTTGAAGTGATTATGCATGGATAAGTCTGGGGTTAATTTGCCTATATAGAAGGGGTGTTAGGTGAATAAGCAATATTAATGTGCAGTAAGATGTTAGAATCTGCTGTCTTAGATCCTGCTGATAGACCAGGGTGACATTCCTCAACTGTAAGTAGGCTTGGATAAGTAATTGTTTCTAAATCACCATTATTTATCTATATTTATGGATTATTATGTATGGTTATTAGTTAATTAGGATATATTATTACTGATGAATGAATTGAATGTAATATTATTAGAATATATATATATATATATATATATATATATATATATATATATATATATACAAGTTAGTTCTCTTATGCTGATGTTGTATCCATTAGTTCTCTTATCATTGCAAATAATACTTGATGAAATGTTTATCTCAGGTTGCTTATGATGATTTTGTTGATGCTGGATCATTTGCAGTTGCAAGAGAGAAAATACTTCTAAGTTTGTTTTTCCAAGTGTTGTTTATGTTTTCTGTATGATTTTTGCATTTTGAAATCTATCATGGTCTAATTTTGGTGAAGGTCTACATTTGATCAAAGTCATTGAAGAAGAAGGTTGTGGATGCTGCATTGATCAAAGCTATTGAAGTAGTGCCGGATTTGAAGGCTTATTTGGGTGCAGCATACTTAAGTAGTATCAATTAAGTAGTAATATTTTCATGACTTTTTTTTATGAACATGACAATAATTTTTGTTGTAAAGAATTTTGATGTTTAAATATATTTTCAATTTGAAATTTAGTGTGTCCAATAATTTGTTGATGACATATAATTTATTTACAATAGATATAAATAAAATTTTGGTAATATAAAAATAATAAAAACATTCCATATGATTTAAGATTTTCCTACCAACAGTTGGAAGGAAAATTACAAAATATAATATGTGAATTTTCTGTCCAACATTGGTTGGAATTTCTGACCAACGCACATAATTGGACGGAATTTCCGACCAACGCACAAGGTTGGATGGAAATTCCCACGTTTTAAAAATGGTGGGGTACTTGCCGGAATTTCCGTCCAATTGTTGTTCGTTGGACGCTATTTCCGACCAAAAGTCGTAGTTGGACGAAATTTCCCACGGAGGTTTTTCCGAACGTTCCTTTTGGTCGGTATGTTGGACGGAAACGTCGTTTCCGACCAATATACCGCGTTTTCCGTCCAACATTTGTTGGACGGAAAACGCGAGATTTCCAGCAGTGGTGGTTGAGTTTTCACAAGTGAAAAACTTCGAGGATTTTAAGGTTGTTGCATGTCAACAACATAAACATAGATTCTGAGATATCCGAAGATACCAGGCTCAAGTACTATGAGATGTGCCGCAGTCGCAACGCGTATCTTCATGAGCTTGAAGAGCCTGGGTTGAACTACACGCTAATCGCCGGGGCAATAAAAGAAACTGTGAAAATCGCCGATGGCATCAAAGCTGCCACGCTCGCAACGGGCCGTGATGTTCTGGAAGTATGGGACAGAACTCTGATAGGGGTGGGGCATTTCGGCATGGAAGTGGGGTTCTTGCGCGGCAGGATAAGCGAGCTGATTAGGCTGTGCGAGGCGGCCGAACTTGTCGCCGGAAAAGAGAAAGAAAAAGCCATAGCTGAAGTGGAGATGAAATATCTCCTGTACAAGGTGTCAAAGGTGAGTGTGGTGATTAAGAATTTGGATGGGGAGATCAAGACACACAAAGGCGGGGAGAGGGTAGAGGAGGTTTTCAAGAATGTTGCGAGTGCTGATTGGTGAAAGCCCATGTATGGCTGTTGGGCAAATTATATTATGCACCGCGGTGCATAATCGATTATGCACCGCGCGTCTTTTTTTTTTAAATGAAAATTAACAGTGTTTATTTCCGCCGTTTCGCACCCTTTTGCAAAAAGTAACTCTGTTATTCAGTGTCATTTTGTATACACTGCAGTTTCAGTTGAACACAACTACAGTTTCATTTCGATATAACTATAGTTTCATTCGATATTTATAGACTCAAATATGTGAAAATGTTATTTAATTTTATTTTATATACACTATAGTTTCATTAAAACACAACTACATGATCATTTTGATATAATTACAGCTTCATTGTACAATATACACTCAAATATGTGAAATGTATTCAGTTTCAGTTTATATACACTGCAGTTTCATTTCACTATAACTACAGTATCATTTTGATATAACTACAGTGTCGGTTTGAATATACTGTAGTGTCAGTTGGTGTTTAATATACCAAACAAACGGACTCCGTTAACTCTAACGGCGGGCCGTTTCTTTACTTAAAGAAACGGCGTCGTTTTTGACCGCGGTGCACATGCACCACGGTCTATAATATAACGACTGTGGCTGTTGTATCTAATTCATTAGTGGCTAATTTAATTTGTTGGGAATTTTAAAGACACAAGTTTTTCTTTCCTCTTCTAGAATTTCTTTTATATATAGATATAGAATCTTGATCAAGTCCAACCGACTCATCCTGTATGAGGATCGTGCTGTCGTCTCATGATGCACCCCTCCCGTGCGACGACGGTGCGGTCGTCTCAATGCCGATTCTCTAATTCTTCGATCTTTTATCACATACAAAAATGTAATTTTTTATGGTCCATAAAAAAATTGCCTAATCTACTACACCAATAAAAGAATTTCCTCAAATTTCGACTATTGTTTGTGTGACCCATACCCGAAACACTAAGGGGGGTGTATTCAATCCAGACTTTTAAAGAATTTTAAAGACTTTTAACGACTTTCAGAGTTTGGCGGTATTCAATTTAGACTTTTAAAGACTTTAGAAGTCTACCGGTATTCGATTCAGACTTTTCAAAAATCTTTAAAAGTATACTGGCATTCGTTTCAGACTTTTATAGTCTAAGTCTACTGGTATTCAAATATTTATCAACTTTCATAGACTCCATCAGAATAGGATTTCTGTAGACTTTTTCTTCATTTATATAAATAGATGAAATCCAACCCTCCAACCCCAAACTTTTCAATTTTCTCTACAGACTTTTTCCTCCCAGATAAGTTTTTCATCAATTTCTATCAAATTTTACGTTACGTTTCAAACTTTTCATAATATTATACTTTGTAATTTTTTTATTATATTTTATGCAATTTTGTTTTGTTGCGAACAGCAGCAAGAACTTCTTGCTGCTATTCGCAGCAGGGTTGCTGTTCACAGCAACAACGTAACCATGCTGCGAAATTCGCAGTCAGAAATTTTCTATAATTTTTTTGCAATTAGTAGAGCTAATGTACTCAATTTTTTTAAATTTTTTTTTATATAATTAACATAATTTTATGTTATTATATGTTCATTAATTATTAATATATGTAATTGTATTAAGTTGAATTTTTTGATGATTATAATTTTGAAAAACTGTTTGAAACTCAAGAGCAACAACAAGAGCATGCCAATGAATGGATGGCTCAAATAGCTTTGGATATGTGGAGAGACACCCAACAAGGTGAAATCAATTCCAATAAAAAATAATTGTACTAACAAGATGAATATTTTAATTTGTACATTTTCATTTTAGACATTTTGATAATTATATTACTCAACATTAGTCGTTTCATTACTTAAAGAAATATTTGTATTGATTATATTTAGTGAAAATTGATTATATTTTCTTTATGTATAATATACTCTGTTTTTGTGACAATGAATATTTTTTTTTAATTTTTTTTTTTTGCAATACATTCATTTATTTATGATTTATAAAAATATATTTTTGTAAAAAAATTATAAATAATATATTAATAAAAGTTATGGAATGTTTTGTAATGGTGTATTGAATTTAGAGTTTTAATGACTTTTGTGGACTTTTTCATATGAAATTTTTTTCAAAAGTCTATAAATGGTTGTCCTATAGATTTTTAAGGACTCTTACAAAGTTGATAAAAGTTTAAAAGATTCTAGAAAAGTCTACAAAATCTCTACAAAAGTCATTTAAAATCCATCACTTTTAAAGTCTTTCAAACTTTTTAAAAGTCTTGATTGAATACACCCCCCTAAGTCTCTACCTATTTGGGCATCTCACTTTCTATTTTAAGCTATTTCCTAAATTTCATACCTTATTGTCTGTCACTCTATCCCCAACAAAAACGTGCGGTCAACTCACCACCGTACGTCTATTTGCTTCACTCCATCGTCAAATCAACGCCTTCCATCACCGACTCAGCACAGCTTTCATTTTCAATCGGCGAAACTCCGGCGCTTTGATTTTCCATCGGCGACTCTCCGTCGCTCCGATATTCCTTCAACAACTCTTTTTCGCTCCGATTTTCTATCGTCGAGTCTCTATTGTGTTGATTTTCCATCGAAGACTCATTGTTGCTTCGATCGTCCATCATCGGTTCTCAATTGCTTCAATTTTCTATCGTCAACTCTCCTTTGCTTCAAATTTCCAACGACGATTCAATTCTGCTTCAATCTTTAATCACAGATTTTCTGATTCTTCAATTTTCCACCGTCGACTCTCTATTGCTTTGATATTTTTCTGCTTCTTCAATTTTCCACCGCCGGCTCTCTATTGCTTTGATATTCCATTTCAACTCTTCGTTGAATTGATCCACCATCGCCAGACTCTCCACTACTTCAATTTTTCATCACCGGCTCTCTACTACTTTTGCGTTTCAAGCCCACTTCTACTACCTATTTGAGCCTTTTTACTCCTACACCGATGTAATTTAAATCTTTTTGTAGTTTGTGTGTTTGTAATATAGAGAATAGATATATTGAAAGTGTTAGAATGAGTAAAAAATAATTCAAATAGGCCTCTCAATTTATTAGTCAATTTTTGTTGTTTATTACCCTAATTTCTCTAATTTTTTTTGGAATGGTACTAACTCTAGTATCTGTTCAAACATACTTTCTCAACCTAATGAAGCACACAGAGTCAACAACGCCTCCACTTAGCTCGATCTCATGACCTCCGCATGAGAGATGTCACTACATGCCAATTGCTCTATATTATTTCTTAAATCTCATTTCTCTTCATCACTCACTCCTTATTAATGTATATTTAGCTATCATATTTCTCTCAATTTTAGATAGTCTTATACTCTCTTTCAGCTAAATGGAAAATAATATAGTACTCCCACTGCCAATAACACTTTTTATTTGTTTATTTTCTTAATATTTTCTTCTTTTTTTTTTTTTTTGTGTTGAATAGAACTTTTAATATTATTTTTTTCTAAATATGTAAATTTTATATACTAAAACTGATACAATTGTGGGTTCCTATGCTGCAGTTTCTATTATTATTATCTAAAACATAATAAGTGTAGATGAAGGTTATACTTCATTTATGTCCGTTTTTTCCATGAAATTTTTTTATACATTATGCAATAAGAGTTGTACTTTTCAATATTTTGGACAAACATACCCCTACCGTTATAACTTCCGTTATCTTTTCCACCATTGTTACCATGCACATGCATCCACCATATATTTTATTATCTTCTTCAATAATAATAATATGTATACATTATATATTGGAGTTATATGTTAGTTATTTGCTACCATATAAATATCAAATGTATAAACATGTTTTACATTATTGTTATTATTTATAATAACTTAAATATCAAAAATCTTAATATAAAATACTAATATTGGGCACATATTTTTTTGCCGCATCGTGCAAAAAAAAAATACTAGTTATTATTATATAGTAGTGGGATAACCACTAATATAGGCATAGTTT